GTGTTATCCGATGCTGCCACAAAGCTGTCCTCTTTGAATCCACCGGAGATTGTGCCGCTGACTCTTTCGCCTCCGGTCGTCAGCAAGATCCGAGTCTCGTACCGTCGCCGGCGTTAGGTTTCCGTTTTCCTTGTTTTTGTAACGGTGGTTTCGTTTGTAGGCCCAAAAGCCCAAACTGAGATTTATTAATATAATTTCAGTTTAAAAAAAAAAAAAAAAAAAAAAAAAAAAAAAGAGAAGAAGAAGGTGTTATCAAGAGACAGAGATAGAAGACAACTTTGTGTTATGCAACAAGGGTAAAATGACCAATAATATACAATATACAAAGAATATCACCTCTTGATAGTTACTATGATTATTTTATTTTATTTTTATTTATTTATTTTTTTTTGGATCGACAAGGCCCGATCCATAGCCAATTCCTACTACGCGGGGTAACGCGACTTAGTGGAGTCGAACTCCGGTGGGGAAGGCGGAGTCATGTGGACTTAACCACTTGACTAAAGGCACATCCCCACTATGGTTATTTTGTTAAATAAAGTTTTTTTGTTGGTTATAGCCTGCAATTCTCCATATTTATATTGCCAAAAAAAAAAATACTAAAGAAGAAAAAAGTAAAAAAATTAGAAAAACCCTTAAATATTTCATGAAGACGAAGATGGGCCTCTGAGAGTAAGGCCAAGTCGAATAAAAAAGCTCACAGTAACAGCAGCAGAACCCGTAAAGGTATAGAGAGAGGCTTTTAAGTGTATCTTCGATTTCCCGATTTAGGGTTCCGATCATCTCATCTCCTCCAAATGGCCGATATTACTCTTCCTCCGTCTGATTCCGCCGTCGATAACCGTCTCCCCGAGAAATCTACCTCTTCCTCACCACCTCCTCCACCGCCTTCTTCCTCTCTACCGCAGCAAGAACAGGAACAAGACCAGCAACAGCCTCCGCAACGCCGTGAGAGAGATTCACGAGACCGAGACATCGAACGTCCTCCTCCTAATCGCCGTGACCGTGACCGTTCGCCTCTCCCACCGCCTCGTAGGGATTATAAGAGACGGCCTAGCTTGAGTCCTCCGCCACCGTACAGAGATAGGCGGCACTCTCCTCCTCAGCGTCGTTCGCCTCCTCATAAGCGTTATCGGAGGGATGATAATGGTTATGATGCTCGCCGTGGCAGTCCTCGTGGTGGCTATGGACCACCCGATAGAAGGTAATCTTCATCTCCAATGCTCACACTTCAATTGGAATTACAATTCAAAGTCATATGGGAACTGTTTTGTTCTAGAAGGATAATATAAGTTGCATTGTTGCTTAGCTGAGAATAGAAAAGTGCATCACTTATAGTTCTATTGGAGATCAGATCACGTTAGTATCAATGATTGTTATATCCCATCGTTTTCGAGATTTCCTAATGTACTCTAATTCACTCTTTGCATGCTAGATTTGGATATGACCATGGTGGAGGATATGACCGTGAAATGGGTGGGAGGCCTAATTATGGTGATGAAAGGCCTCATGGCCGCTTTATGGGTCGCTATCAAGGTGAGACATCTGTTGCTCAAACGTTTTTAAAGTTGTGAGAATTAGTATTACCGCTTTTGCATCTGGTTTTATGACTTGTGAGATGTAAGATGACTGTCATTGGGTTTTCTTGTAAATTGGGGCTTCTGGTTCATTTGTCTAGCGTAGTTCATTGTCATAGCTTCGAAAGTTTCTCTCTATAGTCTATATTCTGTGGATAGTCAACAGTTTGAGTAACTAATTCACAATTCTATTTGTGAACAAGCCATCTGTTTTAAAGGAGAGATATCAATATCTACATTTTGTTTTGTGTATTTCTTTTGGCAGACTGGGAGGGAGGACGTGGAGGTTATGGTGATGCTTCCAACAGTGGAAATACTCAAAGGTTAAAGTTCCTTCCTATGGCGTATTGATTCTGGGTAGTGAATTTTTAATCTTGTAAATGGAAACTAAGAGTTACGAACTATCTAATGGTGCTCAATGAATGGAAGATACATCCCTTATAAAATGTTCTATCTTCGATGAGGCAGATATGCTTTTTTCCTTATAGCTCCGGAAAGTTAGAGTGAACGTTTGAGAGACACCATTATAGTGGCACACAACTAATGCTGTCTGTAGACTCCCTTGCTGTTGCATTTAACGATACATACCCGTTGTAATTTCCTTATCCAGGGATGGATTGATGTCATACAAACAATTTATCCAGGAGTTGGAAGATGATATATTGCCATCAGAAGCTGAACGCAGGTATTGTTATAACTGCATCATAGTCTTGGTGCTTACTCAGTTGTGGTGTAAAGCTGCTGGGGTAATACCTTTTTTTCCTGATGCAGGTATCAAGAATATAAGTCAGAGTATATCACAACACAGAAACGTGCTTTTTTTAACACTCATAAAGAGGAAGACTGGTGATTTCACTATCTTTTTCCATCTTTTATATTCTTCTGGGATATTCTGCAAGCTAGCCTAATAACATGTGTATCTATGTTGCGCATCTACCAGGTTAAAAAATAAATATCATCCAACAAACTTACTCTCTGTCATAGAAAGGTGAGTTCAAGAGTCATTTGAAGCAATTTGATTCGGTGTTAGTGCCTGAATAGTGTAATATTAATACTATACATCAGGGTAGTCTTGATTTTGTTATTTTAATTTTCTTTTCATTAAAGAAATTGTTCAAATGTATATATATTCCTTTGAAAATTTTCAGGAGGAATGACCTTGCACAGAAGGTGGCAAAGGATTTCTTACTTGATTTACAAAGCGGGACACTAGATTTGTAAGATCATTCCTTGGCCTTTACTCCACATGTGTGACTATGATCACGATTCTGTCATCCCTAACGCTCACAGTTTCCCTTCTGTTCCAGAGGTCCTGCAGTGACAGCATTGAATAAATCCGGCCGGACCAGTGAGCCAAATTCTGAGGATGAAGCCGCTGGTGGTGGTAAAAGAAAAAGACATGGTATGGGGGGATCTAAAGAGACTGAACTTCTTTCAGCCGCACCGAAAGCACCCAGTTTCACCTCTGATCCAAAGAGAATCCTGACTGACGTTGAACAAACACAAGCCCTTGTGCGTAAGCTAGACTTTGAGAAAAAAATTGAGGAAAATGTTTTACAAGGTTCAGAAACTGAAAAATCGGGTAGAGAAAAGTTACACAGTGGTTCGACTGGTCCAGTTGTAATCATAAGGGGGTTGACATCTGTGAAAGGCCTTGAGGGTGTTGAATTACTTGACACGCTTGTTACATATCTCTGGCTTGTTCATGGTGTGGACTATTACGGAAAGGTTGAAACAAATGAAGCTAAGGGTTTGAGGCATGTGAGAGCTGAAGGAAAAGGTTCTGATGCAAAAGGAGATGAGAGTGAAAGTAAATTTGACTCTCATTGGCAAGAGAGGTTGAAAGGTCAAGATCCCTTGGAAGTGATGGCTGCCAAAGAGAAGATAGATGCTGCCGCTACGGAAGCTTTAGATCCACATGTCCGAAAGATTAGAGATGAGAAGTATGGTTGGAAATATGGTTGTGGAGCCAAGGGGTGCACGAAGCTGTTTCATGCTGCTGAATTTGTGTACAAGCATCTCAAGCTGAAACACACTGAGCTTGTCACAGAGCTGACTACCAAAGTTCGGGAAGAACTGTATTTTCAGAACTATATGAAGTATGTAGGCTTTTTCTCTTGGATTATTCTACTGTCGTTTCGACAGGTTCGTAATTAAAAATTTATGTGCCATTTGCAGTGATCCTAATGCTCCAGGAGGACAACCAGCCACGCAGCAATCTGGCCCGGTACATGATCTTCTTTTTACATTTAGTGGAGTGTTGACTAGTCTGTACTTTTGGGTTGTCACTTGTTTAGCTTGGTTTGAGTTTTATTCACGCGGGTTAAATATACTTTCGACAGAGAGATAGACCTATAAGACGTAAACCCAGCATGGAGAACAGACTGAGGGATGATCGAGGTGGACGCAGGGAGCGTGATGGACGTGCCAATGGAAATGACAGAAATGAACGGTCAGAAGATCAACAGAGAGGGGATAATGATGGTGGAAATCCTGGGGAACTTGGGTACGATGCATTTGGTGGACAAGGTGGCGTTCATGTTCCTCCCTTCTTATCGGATATAAACCCACCACCAATGCTGATGCCTGTTCCCGGTGCCGGGTAGGTTTAATAAAGATTACTCACTCCCCTAACGATCTTGTTTTGAGAGTAAAATAGTTACTGTATTGAATCAATGATCTTAACTTGTCTGAATGATGATGTGGTCAGGCCACTGGGACCATTTGTACCAGCACCACCTGAGGTTGCTATGCAGATGTTCAGGGACCCAAGTGGACCCAACAACCCTCCTTTTGAAGGTAGCGGGAGAGGTGGACCCGCCCCTTTTCTTTTGTCTCCGGCCTTTAGACAGGACCCTAGACGGCTACGCAGGTAACATGGTTCACTCTACGCTATAAGTCCCCTTTGGAAATATGATCGAGAGTGCATTGTCCCTAAAATACTAATGTAAGAGAAAATGGTGCAGTTACCAAGACCTAGATGCTCCAGAGGAAGAGGTGACCGTTATCGATTACAGGAGCTTGTAGACAAGAAAGGGCTAGAGAGGGAGCTAGAGAGATGCCGAGTTTACCCGTTTGGGTTTGGGTTTAAAGGGAATCAGTCTTAGAAGGCGAGCTCGAGGATTGTGGCAATTCTATGCCTTTGATGTATCATTATTTCTTGTTCCTCCCAATTTTCACTCACTAAAGCGTAAAATACGCACTCCTTATTGATTTTCATGTGCTTACTAATTCTGTTCGACAATTACATAAATGGCATGCGAATTTCTTGTATTGAATAATCCGTTTTATCAACATTGTTTGTTATCCGTACTCTAAGCTCTCCTCAAAAGTGCTACATTATGAAAATTTATTGCCATTAGATCTAATCTGCAGTCAAACCAATGACTATCCACAAGAATCACAATAGATCTCAGCTAAGGATGGGTTGGGTTCAATGTCTAGATAAGAAGGATATATACACTTCAAAAGCCTGGCTCGATGCCCACCAGTTTCTACACACTTGCGTAGATGTCGTAACACTTACACGTATGTTACACATAAGACGCTGTATTGTCAATCTAACAACACCAATCACAGAGATCAAACAGACAAACTCTAATGAGGTTAACAACCATTTTCCCGAAGTTTTCTTTTGCCGCGGTTGTTTCTCTCTCAACATCACTTGCGTTGTTTCTTTGCTTGAGGTTCTGTATGCAGCTCTCCCTGCAAATGTAAGGTACCGTTTAGATCCTCGATAAGACAATACACAGACCAAGTAATAGTTCAGGAATAGTTATAGGTCGATACGAACCTAATTGGTTGCTGTTACTAATTCAACTATCATTGGCCTTCTAATTAATTAATAGCTACTACTTGGAACAAAAAGAAAAAGGGATTGAAAGGGAGTGTGCCTACAACGATTGAGAGCTGCTCACGGATATAGGCCATCGATCTCAACATTGCACCTAATGTATCCCGGGACACCTGAAATTTTACCTCTGATTCTCCTGTTGTTGTCTCAGTATCTTGAAGCTGGAGTAAGAAAAACAAAAGAAGATTTTTTAACACTGTATATGGAATCTATGTTAGAACAAACCAAAGACAATCAATAAATTAAAAAGACCTTCGTCTCGTCAACTGAAGACTACATGAGAAGCTAGAAGCCTAGAGTGTGTAAAAGGCATACCTTCAAATTAATGACAGCTACTCTATTGGCTGGAGATGAAAGTTGCTCGCTAATGTAAGCCATGGACCTTAACATGGGTTCAAGTGTGACGCTAGACAGCTGAAATTTGACATCCATGTCTGCTGAGGGAAACTTTCTGTAATCGTGCAACTGAAAACATCATGAAAAAGAATCCTCACTACAGCGGTCAACTAATTTTTTGCAGGAAGCAGAAAGACTATTAATGGCCACAAATTCGATATCCCTACACTATAGCCACTAAGTTTGCCAAAAAGGCAATGTCAATTGTTCAAATCTTCAAGATCACATTATGCTTAGAGATCTAATCTCTTTTTAGATGAAACATCCCATCAGACCAACTTTCAGTAAAAGTTACTGGTTCATATAATGCACACCTTTAAATTGATAACTGCAACTCTACCACCCGGCATTGTATTTTTACTCTCCATTCCCCAAGTCATTGACTTCAGACAAGGAAGAGCTACCTGTAAGACAAAGCAAATCCAATTACCGACCAACACCAACAGAATCAAAGAAATAAGTCTGTGAAAGGTTTCCCCTGGGTACCATATTCTCAGGAGCACCATCATCTCGGTGAAGCGACACTGGTGCCATACGCGGCAGATTCAGATCAGCAACAGATTGAGCTCTGGCCCCACCATCGTTAAGGTTAAATCTGCGTATCATTTCATCCTCGCGAGGCCACAGCAAAGGGGTTGTATCAGCAGCTGATAGTGAGGTCTTGTCACCACTACCAATTCCACCATTATGTGAGCTAGGAGGTGCAGCTCTACTTATATTTTTTCTGACAACTGAAACCTTCTTCCCACCTTCTCTGAGTGCCCCTAAAGCAATATTATAAGCTTCAGCTGAAATTGCCCCTTCCTCAGCATACTTGATGGCCTCACGACATAAATGATTATAGCGGTGTATCAAGCTATCATGCCCATTTTCACTGACAAGCTCATCCAACTCTACCATGCTCTTGGCATTTCTTGTCCACCGTCTCAAAATATAATGTGGTGGCAAAGTGAGTATATTTGTGACAGTAAACACTGTCAAAACATGTCGGCAGAGTATGCCGGAGTGCTCAAACATTTGACAGCTGCAATTTGCTCTCATTTCAGGGTAGCAAAACGTTACTATATAAGCTTTGTTGTCATTTTCAAAATTTGCAACCCTAAATGTGCAGGTATTACCATCATCTTCAATTCTGTTTGCAGTGTGAGCGAATGTCTCTACCAACTCTTCCTGGAACTTTCCAAAAATTTTCCTTGTAAAGAGATTTGCAGCCTGATTCTCCATGGGTGATGGCGTCTTCAAGACTGGGGGTGTGTTGACAGTATCAAGATCTGCTTCAATCTCCATCTCGAACCAGCTCTCCATAGCCCTTTCGTACAGCCTAAAGAACATCGGAAGGGTTGTCTGCTGATTCACATATCCATCGAAAAGGGAACCTGAATAACCTTGGCTAGGAAATACTGCAGCGAAAAACGAATCCCGGAAATAAACAGGTACCCACTGAGCTCGAGCATTATATAAGGAACTAAGCCATTCATGTCTTCCTAAGTCATACTTTTCAATAATGGAACTCCAGGACAATTCAAACTCATCGATCGTTTCGGTGAAGTTGATACAATTATATAGCTCCATCTGAAAACTGGGATACGCAAGACACACATGAGCCAGCTTTTCCTGACCTTCTCTTAGCACATCCCACTTATTAATACAGTGACGAGCACCTGGAAATACCTGAGCAACAGCAATCTGTATGGCTCTATCTTGATCAGTTACCAAAGAGACGGGCGGTTGATCTCTCATTGCTGTTAAAAAAGTCTTGAATAGCCAAATAAATGAAGTGTCAGACTCGTCCAATATAAGTGCACAGCCAAATAGGATAGTCTGACCATGATGATTCACCCCAGTAAACGGCGCAAAAGGAACCCGAAACTGATTACACCTGTATCTCGTATCTAGGGTGACCGTGTCGCCAAAATGAGTGTAAGCAATCCTAGATCTCGAATCTGCCCAAAATACATTTGTCATCTGATTATCTTCATCAAGCTGAATCGCATAGAAAAAGCCAGGGTTCTCTGCCTGCATCCTCTTAAAATACTCCAACAGATTATGCGCATCCCGTCCAATTGTTCTCTTCGTGTTTGTAGCCATAGATCCATAATTCACACCTCTAATTGAATCCTTGGACGCACTTCTAGCACCTCTGCTATTAGCATCTATAGAAACATACATCGTACCACTAGGCACATTCACCCCTTGTTGATAATTAGATTTTTCCGAATTTGCAAAATGCCTACGAGGGCGAAGACAGTGAAGCGTATTAGAACTTGCCAATCCATGAGTATGCTCTTTAACAAACTTTGTAACAACCCATTTATCATGAGCTTGCAATTCTATCCTAACCATAGCATCACAACTCTCAGCAAGCCTTCTCTTTGACCTTTTACTACTACATACAAATTCCCGAACACTAACAGACCCATCAGTTCTAGGAAGAAGCTTGGAAGTAAAACCAAGCTGCCTCGAATACTCATCATAGAAAGATTTAGCTTCTTTTTCTGAAATAAACTCCATACCAACATATGGCTCTGCAATTCCAATCTCTTCTTGAACTCCCAACGAATTCTCCATTGTATTCGGTCCACTGCAATCACTAGGTTCAGCATCTGCTTCATCTCCTATCACATGATTCCCCATTGACACACCTTCTTCAACCAAATGAATATCCATAACCTTCACTTAGTAGAGAAAAATTCCAATTTCACACAAATGTTTCCCATCTTCATAGACTACACACACTACATAACAAAAGTACCATTATTGGTAAGAAATCAAAGCAAAACCAGTGTTTGGAGATCTTCTTCCGACACTAACTTACATATAAAAAGGAGGACTTTTGCATCTATCACTCTCCGATTGTTTGTTACGAGACAGAGAAACCCAGAAAGAGTAGAAAGCAAAAGAGAGAAAGAGGAGCTTACGTGAGTGTTGCGAAGAACCCAGAAGAATTAAAGTCGTGAAATTTGGGAGAAGGGTAACACCAATTGGGGAAAAATTGAGAAGAGCTGTTTTGGTTTTCAGATTCGACCGGAGGACTAAAATTAAATTCGTGCTTGTTGTTCTCTGAGTCTCGTTTGGGAGGAAGAAGAGATTGAAGCACAAACGACGTCGTTTTACGGAAAAATATTAAAAAAACCCTAACACCTGAAATAACGTCAAGGAGCTTTAAAGAAAAAAGAGAATTGCAAGTAAATGTTTTTTTTTTGTGCAAAGCAAGTAAATGTTTATTCATCGATTTTTAGGCATCAAATATTTACGTCGATATCAGAGAGTAGAAATCGATTTTTCTAGTTTCTCAAAGTTTATACGCAATCGTTCTCTGAAATTGAGGATTATCACTTTATACAAAAGTCTCTATTGAGAAAAATAAATGAATTATATTTGGGGAAAAAAATATACACTTGGTCAGAGTAACAAGATACAAAAAAAAAAAACGAGACACACACACAAAGGTCATCATTCATAATCATCACAAATTTGATGGAATTTTTTTTTTTTGAGGAACTCCCATCACGTAAGTGCAATAACATCACTCAAATATCGCAGAGCATAGATGGAGAAAAAACATCCGCCGTCGATCTTTGAATTCTTGGTTATAGCATTAAAAACTAAATACTTCAAAATCTAAAGAAATATGAATTTTGTGTAGTTTTTATAAATTTGATACATAAAATCGATGAATAAACATAATTATATGTATATATTATATAATTTTCTGTGGAATTAAACATGATTATGTTATATAATCTTCCAAACTAATCCATGTATAACGATTAGTAGAATCAATAATTGTAAACAAAAAAAAGTATAATTAAAAAAAAAAAAAGAATTAAAACAAATAATATTTTTTAGTAACACGAAGCATCCAAATCAATAGAAGTCATCACGTAGCATCTGACTCAGCAAAAATTCAACATTTGGCATATGACTCGGTATAAACTAACGGTATGAGTATCATAGTTTCTGTCAATGCTGATTTTGACTTCTGGTTAGAAGTATATGGCCGTGTTTTTTTCTTAATCGCTGAACTAGCGACAGCGACAAAAAAAAAAATTAAAAGCCCAAATGCTTTACTTAAAAGAAAAGGTCCATGTAGAGAAAAGCAGCGATAGTTATAGTTTTATAAAAGACAAAAACGAGCGGAGATGGAGTCGCTGTAAAAACCAGCGTTCACTGGCAACACCACGTTTTCCAAAATTAATGCCATAGTCTTCTTTAATCTGTCGTTGGATTAGTTTTAGCGACAGAAACTCAGTGTTTTTTTCGGTCGCTAACTCCGATCGCTGCAATCGAGAAAAGGACAGGACTTATGTAGATTATTTAAAAGGTTTGTTTGTTTAGGTTGAAATATGGATTGTGTCTTAGTTGTGTATAAAAATAAACAACGCCTTTTATGATAGTTATCTCAAGCATATAAATTCTAAATCAAAATTAAACGCAACAAAAACATTTTGCAATAATTATATTTTTTGGTTTACAATAACTAGCTGATTTTTATATTTGTATTTTGCAAGGATATGCATTTTATAAATAGTCCCCACACAATTCTAAGAAAATTAGAAACGAAATGTTAAAATTTTTGTAGAAAGTTTTGACTGGGGAAATTTTTTGTCGAGAATTTTTTTGGCGGAAAAATATGTTGTAATTTTTTTAGTGGGAAAATCTGTCGGAATTTTTTTTGGCGGAAAAATTCAATTTTTCATTTTGCTGATTTATTTATTTTTCAAATAGGGGTAAAATGGTTATTAAAAATTAGAAGAGTGCATAAATTAAAATGGCATAGAAGAGCGAGTATTTTTTTAAAAAGGCTAACAATGAGAGGCCATTTCTAATAATTTTCTTTTTTATTTTGTATTTCTCTTTTAATTATATGAAGATAGTGATTTTGTTTTTTGTTTATAAACAATCAATAAAAACAAGAATTTAAGTTTTTACTATTTTATAATGTTGGCTAAATATATCGTAATTGTCGATGTGAAACAACTAAAAATTCCCCTACCTTTTGTAACTTTGTCCCACATCAGATAGATGAGATTTTTAGTCTCATCACAAAGTTTTGTCCATGACAACAACGGCCCTGTTAGGAACGGCAACGCAGTATCTAAACTTTATCAATATCTGACATTAAGGGGTGGAGAAGATTTTTGTTGAGAAATATCCATTGTTGCATAGAACATTTTCCTATAAATCATAATCCGATATGCATCGGTGGCCATATATTTTTATCCAGCTGCCCAAATGGTCAGTGCCGGGATTTCTATGGTAATTGATTTCGATGTGAACTCTGAGAAGTTCACATCTATCAAGTATTTCGACAGTACACTTTCGATGACACAATGGGAGAACACGTACAAGGACATGTCAACTCTATTCAACGTCAATGAGAAGTTGGGTTCTCATGTAACTCTCGACCATATGAAGAGTTTTGAATTCAGGCTTTTAGATGACTCCACAAAACATAGATGGTCAAGACAGTTTCACCAGTTTCCAGATGTTGGTTTGGATTATAATCATGCTATTATGCGTTTTTGGAAGACTCACGAAAATGAAGCCGTATGGTTACTGTTTACTCTTCTTAACGATCCTCTCTCTGTGCTATTTTATAATATAGAGAGAAAGACCGTGAAGAAAATACTTTTCAGATCTTCATCATTATTCGAGGGTAATAGGTTTCTTACATCTATAAACCATATTGAGTGCGTAAGAAATAATAAAAATTCAATAAATTTAATTAATTTATTATATTGGTTCTGATGGCATAAAGGTAAGAATATATTAATATTAAGATTAGATATTTTAAATGACAAAAACTATTTCGAATAACAAAAATGAATTCGTTAGCCAAGTATTTAAAAAATTTTCATGTACATCATCGGCACGGACACGGGACACCTTGAAGAAGATCTGGAAAAGCCAAAGGTTATAACATTGAACTTAAGAATTTCATCAAAAAGTAAAAAACAAATTTTTTTACAAAAACCCTAACCTTTTATGAGCAGCTTTAGGTTTGGAGTTTTTGGCTGATGCGTAAAGCATAGGTGACCAAGCATATTTTATGGAGTTGTAAGACTTGGTGACTAAGCATATTTTATAGAGATTTATGGAGATTCTCTCTTGTCACCGACAAAGGCTACATGTTCGTATGAACAAACTAAAATAAAATATTTGCATGATCGAGATTACACAACCTAATTTGTTGGCTAGGTATGTTTTAGACCTATGAGCAGTTTACACAACTTAATTTATTGACTATGTAGCGACCCTGAACCGTATAAGTCCGGCTAGATCCGTACAGGTGACAAGTACTTCGTATGAGCGGACCAAAGTTTTAGTACAAAACTAGCGTCCCAGTCTACCAATACTTAGTATTGTCCTTTCCAAACCCGATATTAGGCTTGTCAACCCTTTACTGAGAAAGGAAATGCGGTTCGAACAGAACCTTATATCATCAAACTCTCCCCATTTTTATAAAACCTTTTTATACTTAGTATAACTTTTACACAACAAGATACCAAACAATCATATAAGGTTTTCATCTCGACTCAGATCGGAAATCTCCAAACTCCAGAACTGGTTCTCGGAATACTTCTTCTTCTCCTGGAACTCGTCCACGGATTCGCTTACGGAGACTGGCGTACGTTCCGGAAACTCGTTTTCCTCCTCCTCCCTCCATCTGCTTCTCGGCGAACAGCCAGCACTTCATCGGAAAATTTCAAGAGCTCTCTCACGAACTCTCTTTGTTTTTGTGAATGCCCTTATGCCTTGAATCCTTGGTATTTATAGGGAAGGAGGGGTGGCGCATGGTGGACACATGTCGCGCTTCCGACGATACTTGGCGGAGTTGGCTCTACCCCCGTCAAAATGTTCCCAACAAATGGCGAAGCATCCCATACGCCCATCACATCCGTTGCGACACTTGGCGGAGCACTCCAACCCTCGTCATGTCGATCGTGACGGCCTTAGACCCTCGTCAAATCATTTGTGACAAATGGCGGTAAATTGAAATCCTCGTCAAATTGTTTGCGACAAATGGCGGTAAATTGAAACCATGGTCATATCGTTTGCGACAAATGGCAGTAAACTTAAACTATCGTCAAATAGTTTGTGACAAATGGCGATAAACTTAAACCCCTCGTCAAATTGGTTCTCCCGATTGGCGGAGAGCTTCCACCCTTGTCCCATCGTTTACGACAAATGGCAGAGTAACTATACCTTCATCACATCGGCTATTAAATGGTGGCAAATGGCTTACGATAAATGGTGGAAAATCGATCGCGACAAATGGCTTACGATAAATGGTGGCAAATCTCTTCCAACGACGACTACACATAAGACATATCCCCAAAATCAGGAGATCTTGTCTATTAAATCTTTCTCGAGATTTATGCCCCCAAAAGTTAATCTCTTCCATCTGTTTATTTTTCTTAACTCCGTTCGCTCAACATGACACGGTTTACACTTGGTCCGTTACTCGATCGCGACCGAAAACTATTTTCGTCAAGTAAATAATTTTTCACACAATATTCTTCATAAACCTTAACGATCAAAAGTCCTTTCTCTACTCTTTACAGCGCAATGCTCACTGGTCGATCCACGACATGGTTTTCTCGAACCAAAACCATCCTTTCTCGATAACTATTATTTTTCTTTGATGATTAAGCTTTCTTTTATGTTCCGCTCACCACTAACGAAAGCCGTTCTCTTTTTCTTAACTTCAAAATTTTGGTCTAGACCGCGACTTCACGATCGTCCGTCCCGACCGTTCTTATGTTAAAATACGGGTTATTACAGTCATCCCCTCTCAGACGAATTCCCAATCAGAGAAATCGTTAACGTTCTTAACTTCAAGAAGACTTCCTCTTTTCAAACTCTTCAACATTGAGCTTCTTGGTTATTCCAATCCTATAAACCTTTTCAGCTTAATCAAATCGGAGTTCTACCCCTTTTTGCAAAGCTTTCGGTTTTGGATTCTCTCTAATCCTTCCCGATTTCCATAAACTAATTCATAGTACTCACCATTCTAAAATCAAACGAATTTCTCAAGCACTTTTAACTCTTTATCTCTTGAATTTTGAAAATTTATA